TCGTTTCACCGAGTATACAGGTATAGGTGTAGTTTGGTGCTTATCTAAAAGAGATGCATTTTTGAGGACGCGCGACAGTCGCCGGTGGAAGAACGAGCCGAAAGAGGAAAGGGGGGGGGGAAAGCATCCGCTGGTATTCATCGCCGTTCGAGGAGTAAAAAGACACCGAGAGGAATTTTTTTTTTTCGAACACCCGAGTCGTCCCGAATCTCCGGATTTTAGTGATCGGGCGAAACTTGTTTCCGAGCGCGTATATATATATATATGTATACACGGACCAAGTGTAAAAACGTTACAATAAATGGAAAGGCGCATTTTATTATGAGTACCGTTAGAGCCAGAAGAGCAGAAGAAAGGGGGTAGTGTATGGGTAGGTTATATATACAAACGTGTTTTCCGAAACACGCGCGAGAGAGGCGCATTCGGACTCTCGAAGGAGCTTCGAATGATTTCGCAAGACCCGCCGCTGATGCCGATTTTTTCCATCGAGCGCAAGTGCTTCTGTATACATATATACCACACAGCTGATGGCGACCGTTCATTACGGGATGGCTCTCTCCGTATATACGTATGCGAGTGCTTTTTGCTCGGCCATCGCGCGACTTGGCTTTTGCAGCTCATTATATATACGGTATATAGGCGGATGGGGGGGGGGAGACGGTAATTATGGAATCGAACGGTATGAATAAGGTATGGGTGACGCAACTGATTTAGCTTTCGCGCGTCGCGGGGCAAGGGGGGTACAGGAATTCGTTTGTGTCGCTGCAGCCACAACGACGCACGTACACACACACACACACGTCAGTCAATGTACTCGCCAGCTATAGCCCCTAGGCATCGAGGCGCACGAGACTAACGAGTTTAGATGCGCTTTTGCAATATTCCGACCATTAGGTGTGTGCATGTGTACTGCTGCCGTGAAACGGGGGAAAAATTGAGCTTGGACCACAATCGCGTTTTTCAATGCGCGTGTACACATCTTTCACCGAATATACACTTGGAATTCAATTTGACGCGCGTCAGCGTGTGCCTAAACAAATATAAATATATATATCAATGTAACGAGCACTCTCGCGTATATAGTATGTACAGTAGAGAGGAAGGCTCGTTAAATCGATATCGAAGGGAAAGACACTTGCAGCGCGAGAGACGGGCGCCGAGATTAATTGCGCGTGAAATGAGCGCCGCGGCGCAACGGCCGGGCCTTTTTTTTTTTTTTTTTTTCGATTGTCAAAAAAGAGAAATTCGCGCGATTGTGCATTACGTGGTCGTGTGTCCGTACGGCGCGATAATTTTTCCTTTTCCTTTTTTTTTCCCCCCCGCAAAATTGGCTTGTACTGCAAGACGCGGGAATTTCGCGACACAATGGAACAAGCGCCCGCCACAATGACACATACGCTCGGGCCTCGAGGAAACTTCGGGGGGGGGGGGGACCCGCGTCGGTTAAATACTTATCGCCCTGGGGAGATTTACGTGTATTTTACCCGTATCCCCCTCCCCTTCCCCGATGTACCTACAGCGGAAGATAAATACACCATGTACACCTGACTCGCTTGTATATGTATACGTTGTTGCAGGTGTTACGCGTGTATACACATATATGTATATATGTATCATGCTATACTGTATACGGGGAGTAAGAGATATTACGTCGCAAAGTACGTGTCCCTTGGTCGTTTTGCACGTTCTCTTTAATTTCACGAGCGCCCCATTATTATTATTTGCCCCTTTTGCTCGTGTGTCGTAGGTATATATAGGTACCTACTTGCCGCGCTCCCAACTGCGGAGTTGTCAATTAGCACGCAGTCTCTCGTTTGTAACTCTTTATTTACCCCTTGCCAATGCGGTCTCGCCTCCGTTTTTTTCTCTCCCCTCTTTCACTTTTCACTCCCAACTTTTTTTTATGGATGCACAAATGTATTATATATATAAATTTTTTTTTTACGTGTTGCACGTCTGAGAAAGTTTTTTCCGCGTTGCTCAAGTCTTCCCATTGCGCTCGATCAACCAGTTCTATACCGAATCAGATGACTGTGCAATAATAAAAAATAAAATAAAATAAATGCAGGAAGAGTATACCGCGGATTATCTGTGTAAACAAAAGCCGAGTGTCAGTCCTCCTCGGGGGTGAAAAAAAAAAAAAAAAAGAGAGAAAAGTATAGTATTCGTTTATGGCCGAGTAAACGCAATTATTCGCCGTTTGCGGTTCGAGCATCTGTAACAAAAAAAAAAAGAAAGAGGGAGAGAGAAACCGATGGCTAATTGGTTATTACTCGGTTCCGACCGTGGAAAAATGCATTCCATCGATTGGTTTTCGATTCGCCGGCAGAGCGTCAGAAACCGGCCGGAAGCCACGGGCCTCACGGAAATGAGAATTCCTCCGACGACTATATATATACTACTCTGTTCCGTTTCCTCTTCCATCTATACATACTGTATAAAGCTCACATCTTATGGTTTATATATACATACATATATATATATATATGTGTGTGTGTGTGTATGTGTAAGGTGCAGGAATGTAGGTCGGCTCAGGTGCTCCCGATGATTTCACGATGTTTTCCCGATTACACGAGGAGACGAGCTGCACACACACGTATACGCTTATACACAAAGATGGAGAGATATTATGGCGTCGGCCGATTAAAGTCCCTCTTCGTATAAGTACACGTGTACATATAAATATATCCTCGTACGTATGGACTATTTGTCACTGTCGTGTTGATAAGATTCTAGTTTTCGGTGTCGGAGTAAACCATCACGTGTATATATATATATAAATCGATGTGAAACTTAATCGTATATAGATTTCGGAGTGAATTATCGTCGCCGTCATCTCACCACATTCGGGGAGGGTAATTGAAGCGCGCAAAGTGCCTTTATTCTCATTGAGGCTTTTTTTTCAACTTTGAAGATCGGCAGAGAGTGTAAGAGCGCGAAGACCCGAGCATTTTGAAACGCCGTGTGTGCTATTAGTGTGAAAGTCTGGATTATAATGTACGTGTATAATGGACGCGTGCGTGCGTGCTCGACATTTCAGGTCGATCCCTCGGCGAGGAGAGGCACCGCGACGACGATTCAATTAGCCGGTCTGCGCCGAGTATATAATGCGCTCGAACAAGCCCGATGGGAGGGAAAAAAAAAAAAAAAAAAAAAAAAAACACGACAATGGAGATGATACTTTCATTGTTGTTTCACATACACACGCGGCTTTTACGGAAGTTGTTGTTTTTGTTGTTGTTGTAGGGGATGCGCAGAGTCTCGGACTTAGTATAAATCGTTAAAGGCTCGCGCGCGAGAATCAGAATGGAAGAGGGAGCTATAACAATTATAATACATACAGCTGTAACTCCCGCGAAGCTGCGTGTATATCGTGGGATTCGCGGGAAAAAATAACTGGATGTAGCGTCGCGTTGCAATATAATCGTACGGCGAGGAAAAGAAAGAGAAACACGCGAAAAGGGAAGCTACGTATGCTGCGCGCACCTATCAAGACCGGCGGTATTTGAATAACGTTCCGCGCATACCGCACAACAAAACCGCTCGCTCTGTTCTTATACGCTGTGTACCCTTGTACAATAAGTATACCATGTGCCTTTGGTTTTACTTACTCTGCTCTTCTTCTTTTTTTCCCATAAGATGCACATTTCTTCAATGTTGAGGAACTTGAGGAGGGACGTATACAAAAAGCTCTGCCCATTAGCGATTGCTGTTGTACGCGTTTAACGTAAAGGGGGTTGTTTCCGTTTAGTATAGCCCCTTCTCGGTTTTGCGGGCAAAGCACTAACTTGTGCACGCTCGTGTCACGAAACTTCCAGCGTTTCTTTTCGTTAATTAACCACATGGAATTTTTTCTTTCTTTCTTCGCCTGCAGGTATACACTTAACTATACGTAGGTACCTACGATCAAAGCAAAGTAGCGCGCGTAAAAAAAAAAAAAAACTCTCCAACTTTCGTACACGTACCCGCTACTAAAATTAAAGGGGGGGGGGAGAAGAAATTTCTATTTCAATTAAACACGCGTCATTTCGATCTCGGGCTCTATAAGTACATATACATATGAGGTGTGTGTATTTATGGTAGCGCGCGCCATGCACTCGCGGCAATGAACTCGAAGCGGCAAACGGAACGAATTAACCAGAGCGTCACGGTGAAAATCTCGACAGAAAAAAAAAATTGCGAGCGGAATGAAGGGAATTTTTTCAAGAAAAAGTGCACGGACGGGATACCGGTAGACACGCGGGTTCGCGTAGCGTAGGTGCATTTGATATGTAATCGCGAGGGCGGGTAGCCTACGCGGGGCGTATCTAAGACCCATGCACGCATGATCGGCGAAGCGCGAGTACATCTATCCCTGCGGGGGGAGCTATATGTGTACAAGTACTCGCGAGAATTTCCCTTGCATAAGTATAATGATGGTGTATACACGGCCTGTACTTATACATATATACATATACCACCACCGCCATGGTAAGTAATACTAGCTCGGCTATAGCTTATTGGCCGTGGCTCGGTTCAAGGTCGGCCGCCCCGGCCGTGTATATATACTTACTATCGCAAGTAGGTATATAACATCGCGGAGGAGAAGAAGAAGAACAAGTACAAAGAATCACGGCGCGTCCGTCCATCCGGGCGTGTGTGCGTGTATGAGTATACCCGTGTACGGGCATCACAGGAAGAGTACATTACACGGACACTTACTCGCACCCATATTACCCCCGTAATACCGGTAGCTGGTGTACCTATATGTAAGGCACTTACCGATACCACCTATATATACATACACACGCATATAACAATCAAGTGCCCCGTAGCCCTCATGGGTGCATTATGCGGCATGTGCGCGGGCGGCCGTTCAACCCGACGAGCCGTTCGAGCGTCGCCGCGTCAAGTACATAATATTACATAGCGCCGATGATGATGAAGATTTTACGAGCGCGCGGCTAGTTTTTTACATGCCTATATTATGTATGTATAAAATTATAATAATATGTACTTACTCATCCCGCTGCAGTGCGGCTGTAGTTGCTGCTCCCGTTTAACGATCGTCCTCATGGTGATCCGATTTTTTTGTGCTTTCGTTCCTCCGATGACACTTTGTGTCCGTAGTACGACACTAGCCGGTGCTCTTTGTACTCGAGGACTAGCCGTCCCTGTTGGCCGAGCACAACGGTAGCACCAGCAGCATCTTGCGCCAGGTAATACTCTCGGTTTCACCACTATACAAATATAATGTACGTATTGTACGGTATACTCTGCGACCGATCCGACCGCGGTAGGTGGAAAAATCGGCACTGTAATCGCGCTAGTCCATGGTTTTTTTTTTGTTTTTTGTTTTTCAAATCGTTATCGCAGCAACCGAGTACGCGAAAACTCTTTCTCTCTCTCTCAGGGCGATTTTCCCAGAAATCGGCAAGGGAGAGACCGCGAGATCGTTAAAGCTAACGGAGGCGAGTCCGACGATCGGTTTGTATACGTATAGGCTGGCTTTCTTAGGGCCGACTGCCGGGCGAACTGTTGCTTCTGGTAGGCTGTACGTGTATACCTGCTCTCGCGAGTCGCCGCGCCGCCGCTGCCGTCGAAGGAATCCTGTCCATCTCCTCTCCCTGCCCCTTACCCCAGGTATATAACGTCCTCCCTCTTTTCGTTGCTGGCTCTTGGGATAGTTGCTCTCCCCCCCTTCGTTTCCACCTCCGCTTTTATATGCCTAGCCATTTCTCTCTCTCGCGGTATAGACCAACGCACCACGACGAGCACCTCACTTTTTACCTTTTACACATTCACACGCATACACGTATGTGGTAAGAACTCGCGCCACTATACGTATCCACGCTTAACATTCATGAATACATACGCACCGGCACTATCTATCTACCTGTGCGCGGCTACATTGCTCCCATGTAAAAGTACCTGTGGGCATATATATATATATATATATATATAGGTACCCACCGCTAGAGGTTTTAGGTATGTAAAAAATATTATTCTACACCGGCGTGCAAGCTGCAGTCGCGCGTGTAAATAGGAAAGGCGTAAGTATTCGAGACCCTTTGCACCGCGCGTTTTCTGTTCTCTGCGTGTCACATATACTTGTATTGTGTATGTGGAGCAAAAGGTATGTGCGGTATGTGCCATTTGATCGCGTGTATTCGGGAGGGCCATTTTTATTTATTTGTTTTTTTCTCGTCTTCTCTTTTCTTTTCACCCAAGTTGAGTCATTGCGTTGGCGCAAACAGACGTGTCCAACTTACGAGTATACCAAACTCATGTTTTATTTAACCATACCTACGTCAAAGTATCATCGCGTTAAACCGAGTCGCGAAGAGGAGAAAAGCATATATACATATACACACAAAAGACCGCGTACATAACAGATGGGTGTACTATAGAAGTGGACGAAAAATGGTGCGAGAAAAGCATATATTTGAGCAGATACACCCTACCCTACCCATATAAGTACATATATACGTGCAGCGATTTGAAATTGATAGGCCCATTACTTTCGGCCTTTTTCCGCTGGTTTTGGACATTTCTTTTTTCGAAAGGTATATATATATAGCCACAGAGTCCACGTGTATAAGTACTATATATATTGTATACAACGTCATGGGAAACTTGGAAAAGTCTCTTTTGAAAAGAATCAGGTTACAATAATTTTTTTTTTTTTTTTTTTTTCAATCAAGATCCAACTTAGATAGTTAGCTGCCGACGAATTAATAGTTTATATCTTCCCTTTATTACCCTTGAAAAATTGGTGTATACCACGCACGAATGAGGTCATCGACCAGCACCTGTCGCTTCGTATACATGTATATTGTACTCATAATGGTCACACGAAGTAGTAAACACGCACACGAGAGTTTATGTGATGCGCGCTGCAACCCCGGACGACAACGAAGATCGCCAGGTGGCTTGCGTTGTTGTTGCGTATTGGTATGATATATTATATACATTATACAAATAAAAAATAATAATGATCCCTCGAGTTCGCGTGCAGAGGCTAAATTTAATCTGCTCTCCTGCCCATGTGATCGTGGGTATAGAGAGAAAATGGCACGCGAGTCGCATTGGACGGTGGCGAAAAAAAATGCATTATAGGTCGAGCTCTCGGGTATACGTATATATATCTGCGGGCAGGCACACATAAATGTATATTGTGCGAGAGAGTGCATATTGCAATCTACAGCCCGAAACTCGTTTAAAGAGCCCCTCCCTCCCTGCACTCCCCTTATCCGGACGCTCGGGTCTCGGGGGGGAGAAAAAAAAAATACGCGTGTATAAATCAAGGGCCAGCGGAGAGCCCGATGCCGGGCCAAGTGCACCGCTAGCCGTACCAGTGACACGGATCTTATGTATATATATACCTATACACATGGGTTCACATGGGCGCGGAGAGAGAGGAAGAACGGTAACTTGGGCCTTGGGCTGCAACGAGCGCGGAGCGTCCAAGAAGTCCTCGTGTGGGGTAGGTAAGGTATAATGTATATATATGCACGCGATGGCCCATTATCCCCCTCTCTCTTTACTCTCCGTTCGGGCGTGACGCAAGTTGTGTGCGAATTTTTCTGGTAAAGGTCATTACTTTCGTATCGGGCGCGCTTCGAAAATCACGCCCGCGAATTATTGCCCCGTTTATACAGTTCTTAGGATTTTCCTTTTTAAAAACAAAAATCGCCGATTTCTCAGGGGCTCGTACTTACAATTAGCCGCGTATCATAAAAAAAAAGTGTAACGACGCTCTTTGCGCGCTCTCAAAAATGCAATGCGTATACAAGTACACCCATGTATATATATATATAAACTTGAAAACTATTTTTGTACATGGAATTGGCCAAAGATAAAGACATGAAGAGAGATAAGCTAGTACTAGAAAATTGAAACCATCATCAGAATGTGTGAAGTATGTCTTTTGAATATATTGTAACTCAATGCGATGAGTTTGCCATTTAGTCAAATTTTCCAAAGCGAGGGAATGGGTGTACAGTCTTTTTTTACAATGATCGAATTGCCAAGAGAGAAGCTGATATTGTAAAAATGCAGACGAATGAGTGGTTCAAGCTACGAAGATTCAGGCTTTCAGAGAGCAAAGGTGTTCATTGGATACAAAGTTTGAAAACCAAGGGCACACAGTCACTTGTTGCAGATACGTTGTACCCTAAAACATGTTCAACCTTTTTTGTACGGAATATGGAATTCGTCGTGAAAAACATGTTTTTGATTGTCAAGTCAAGGAGTGGAATCGTTGTCGAGGATGGATGTGTGGCGAATATAGCTGAGTTAAAATGTCCTTCTACGTGTGAAAACGTACCAGCTTTTGTACCACGTACACGACGAAATTGAATGTACGACGTGTGATTTGTACGTATTAAAAGGAAGCTGGGGAGTAAAATTTTATCGTGATGAGTCCTTTTTAAGAGATGTATAGTAACTAAAAGTGAAAATAATTATTTTAATTATAGTTTAAAAGTATTGAAAAATGCTAGTGACAATTTTATTGAAAAATCAAATAATAATGGGGTTTCAAAGTTTGCAGGCCTATGAAAAACCAAACGTGTAATAAAAACTTTAAAATAATTATTTGTTATCAATTCAAAAAATTGTAATGACGTGGAAACAATGGAAAAAATATAAGTATAAATTTTTGTAAAAAAATATTTATTTAATAAAATATTTCAATCATACATACGTATGTATATCAAATAAATAATGGTAAATAATATCCGTTGGTTGAAAATTTATTCATCCTCAGTTTTTTTTTGGAAATCCTCTGAATTTTGGGAAAATGTGGGTGATTGTAGATTTACCAAAACACAACATATATGCACTATTTCATCAAGCGAATTAAATAATGAGGTAGGAATTTCAGATAAAATATTATAGAACCTTAATCTATGCATTATATTTTCCAGGTGAATCCTAACTTGAGGAATGATATAAGTTTGCATAGTTTCTTCTTCTGAAAATTCCGATTTTTTTTCAAGAAAGGGTGGTATTATTATTTTCACACCACTAGCATCCATGGCTTTTTGTATATCTGGAAAGCTTTTATCAGCTAAAACAATATCATTCTTCTCCAGCAAATCTATTAACCCAGATTCTACAGTAATTTGGTAATCACTCATTTTGCCACCAGCTACTTTCGATTTAAAACAGATGAAGCCAGATGGTGTGATTCCAATTAAAACTTTGGCTGTGAAATTATTTATGTAATCCGAGTAGGTTTGTACGCAATCATCCATATCTGCTGGCATTTCTATTCGAAATTCGATACAGTCAATCATGACTCTTGTATTGCTATACTGTGGATGAAAGCAAGCTGGCATCGTTTTCTTAATGATGTCTTTATCAGGCCAAAACACCATGTTTGCTGTACAGGAAAATAAGTAGTGCAAGATTGAAAAAAAAATATGCGAAATTGTTGTTTGATGAACCCCAAAAAACAAACTTATCGCTGAAAATGTCAAACCAGTCTTCATTTTAATCAAAAAAATTAAAAGGCTATTTTTTAATGAGACTTTATGTTTTGCAGTAGAAGCATATTTATCCATGATTTTCAGTAAAAAATTGAAAGTGTCCCTGGAAACACCGGCCATGTCCTTCAGTTGCTCTTTATTTTTAATAGAAGCATAGCCATTAAAATACTGAATCGTTTCATCCTCACTGTGTGAAATATTGGGACCTACTGACTTGTCAACTGATACTATTGATTTCTTACCACAGCTCGCGCTTCTAAATTTTTTTGTGTCATCTCTCGTTTTACTTTGGTGTAAGATGATTTTCCCTTCTCGCGGTAAATCAGTTTGGATTTCAGCATGGTTGATTCCACCTTCATAAATTATTCTGTTGCAAACAAAACAATTGACACAACTGCTTGAATCGTCAACAGTTATGTTTACTTGACAGGCTTCATCAACCTTCATTACAGTTATACAATTCATATAAATTACATCCTCATCCTGTGTTGTTGTTGATATGGCTTCTTGCATCTTATTCCTTACATTTTTGACATCAGTATTCACATCAGCTTTCTTGAGTATCTGTGTTCGTCTCTTCAAAAAACGCTTGTGTCTACATGAAAATTGATTCCGATGAATAATTACATTTCAAACATTCGTTACCAATATAAATACTTAAAATATAATATACCGATTTATTTTTGACTCGTGGCTTGAATAACTCATAAGTTTTTGGTTTGAAAAGATAGTAGGGACGTAATTTGGACTTAATTGATCAATTCCTTTGACGTTACCAACAAAATGGTAGCTACAAATAGTTTGTGATGACTTTGGAACCCACAATGGGTCAGAGCTAATAAAAAATTAATGACAGAAAGGTTTTTGTTCAACGTAAATTTTTTTATAAACAACAAAATTAATTTGTAAGGTTATGTGGGTTTACTTTGCTTTCCTGACAGCTTGAATCCATAGATTTCTTTGCGGCAACTTGTAACTTCGACCACTTGGAAACTTGAAAAATTTGTATTTACTATTACGACCCGTATTTCGACACGTTTTAACACAACAACACTGATTTCTCATTTTGTGTACAAATTAATAGCGATTCGGCTTTCGGTATTGCTATGTATGTACATAATAGTTGAGCAAACGCAACGAACAGGTTTACATACTGGCTTGACTTTATCAAAGTTCGAACGGCTGTAATAATGCCATCAGAAGTAATAATTAAATTTACCGCATGTTTTTACGTTTTACGCTATTTGATGCTACTGCATAGCTTCCCCCCAGGTTTCACTCAACCGACACTATGGGGCATGGGCGCTGGCGCATGTTGTTTTATGCTCGGTCTCAATACCTGATGTCCACTTACGCACTTAAAGAAGAATGTACTTATAGAGCGCACAACGAGCTTTTTCTAAATAATGATTAATATTATGTGTTTATTACACTTGCTGTTTATTTGTGCGATTCGACATTTCGAAATTGTTTCGCATATACTGAAGTATAATATGTATTTCGGCACGAATTTTGCGCCCCCCTCCTATACTTAGTACTTATACGCATAATTCCTCAATTGTTCACTCGCGTTGGGGACATGTAAATTTATTGGGATAGGTATATTTAAAACGCGTGTGTTTTTCTGTTGACAATCGGAGTAATGGACTATCGGGGGATGATGATTTTGTTACGATATGCGTAATTCCCGTACGTTGTTATTTATAGGCGTATTTGTCTATAAAATACCTATCATATAAATTTTCGAGATAATAAATGGAGCATTTAATTATTAAAACAATCGAGAGAATAACATGTGCTTGATTTCTAAAGACACAATTAACGCTATCGTTGCAGAATCGGTCCTGGCTTCCCAGATTGCGTCCGCACCTGCTTGCTGCACCAGAAACTCCAGGTGAGCGTCGCAACAGTCAAATGTAACAATCTACCTTGGCCATATGTGTATGTGCACTTATAAGTATAGAATTGTAGAGGAAAAAAAAAAAGATTCACAAAGTGTGTACCTGTGGATGCATTGCACACGTATACATATATATATATATATACGCACGCGTGTATAATTACGGGGCGCAATGGCGAGTTTGTTGTTCCATTTCTCACGTTTTCATGCGTTTTCACGTCGCCAGCGTTAAGTATACAATACTACTTACATGTCGTGCAGTATATATATATGTATATCCCTTTTGCGTGTCTTTCCTCCTTTTGCTGTTGCTGCATATGTACTTATATCTACATGCCATACACCTATACAAAACAACAAAACGTTGCAGCAGCAAAGGAAGAACAAAAAAAAACGAAAGAAAGAAAGAGCGCCTAATGTGTCGCGCGAGCTTGTAACTTGTATAAAGTATATATAGCTATTATCCGAGATACCGATCTCCCGGCGTCGTCTCGTCTTTCGCAACGCTTTTCCGCTTCTCGTCTGTACATGTATTTAATTGCTCGCCTCCGCTTATGCTAATACTTGCCAACTTTTCTTTTTTTTTTTTTCCTCGCGTACATCACAATAGATGATAAATTGCTGCATCGCCCGGAAAAAGACAAGGGAGGAGTGCGAGAGGAGGGAGATGGGCTTGGACCAGGAAACCGCGGCGCAAGAGAGCACCGGTGAGTGATTTTTCTTCTTTTTCCCTATATGTTTGTCCGGGCACATGCTCACCGTTCATTGCCGAGCTGCGTTGGTTTTCGCGTGTGACTTCAATTGCAATTTTCAATGGGCGAAAAGTATAAGATCTAATATAGCTCGAAATTTCAGTGTGATCGGTATGAGTTACACGTGAGATGGGGAGGAATATACACGAGTATCTCGGTTGGACGTTCTCATCCGATATGTTGTAATATGTGGTTTTGACTTGTTTTCGCTAAAAAATAATCAGTGTTAGTTGTCCAATCGTCGGGAGTTAGTATTAAATATGCACGCGATGAATTGTATATTCAGACGATTCGGAGGACGACGAGTTCTTCGAGTGCCTGAACGAGGAGGAGGCGGAGGCTAGGAGGCAGTCGCACCAGCAGCACCTGCCCTGGAACCGGCCGGTCGGTAGATTGGCCAAGCACCCGACGCTTCGGCTGATCCAGACCGGCGAGCCGCTCTACTTACCGGTCACCCAGGATCCCGTGCCAAAGACCGAGGATCAACTCGAGGAGGACGCCCAGGTCATGATGCAGCTAGGCACCGACAAAACCGCCTCGGAGATGCGCGCACGGCTCATGAGCGCATCGCTGCTCTCCGACATGGAATCGTTCAAGGTCCGTTGTTTGGATTTTTTTGATTGCGAGACAAAATCCTTCCTTTTGTTGTTTTTTCGTTTCCCTTGATAGTGGAATTTCATACCTTTGGTCGTTTCAACAGGCCGCGAACCCAAACGGTCAGCTGGAGGATTTTATCCGGTGGTACTCGCCGCGAGACTGGATCGAGGACGATCAGGGCGAGGTGGACGAGTGGGGCCAAGCAAGGGGCCGCCTGTCGGCTCGCATGCTCATCGACAAGAACCCGTGGTCGAGCACCTGGGAGTCGGCCCAGCCGGTGCCTGCCCACCGCCAGAAGCGCCTCTTCGACGACACCCGGGAAGCCGAGAAGGCCCTCCACTACCTTGGCTCCCGGCGCCTCGGTCAGCTCGCCCAGCTGCTCATGCCCGTGCTCGCGCACGCCGCCCTCGTCACCCTGCACGAGCAAAAGTACGAGGCCCTCACTAGTCTGCCCAGTGTTTTACAAACCATCAATAACAGGCTGCAGTTCGCCACGAAACCGATTCACCAAAAAATGCAAATCTACGAGGTGATCTACGCCTACTTTTTTTTTTTTTCTATTGTTTGTGCCTGGCTCCTATCTCTATCCCACGATCCATTTTTTTTTCTTTTTCAATGCGCGTTATTCAACAGCTTTCGCGTTTTGAATTTCAAATCATTGAAATTACCCCCAATACGATTGTTGTTACAAAATAATGAATACGCACTTGCGGATGTAATTTCCACGGGCATAATTAGCATGGGCTATTCAGAGGCGCGGTGCAAGGATTACGACATCTAGCTTATATTGTTTACAACGGAATTTCTCATAATCTTGCATTATAATGAGAGCAGATGTGCTACATGGTTCGCTTGTTTTTTGCACTTTTGCTTTCACGGAGTTTGCAATGATGGTGATGGATGTTGTTACAGGACATTGTTCACGAAATCGAGAGCATCGAGAGTTTGATAGCACAGTTCAATTCGCTGCGATTGAAGTTGACCGACAGCAACGGGGATAAGGATCTGACGTCCTTCATAGGCCAGCTGATGCACAACAGAGAAGTTTCCGTCCCAAATGGGCCTAGAGGCGCCATTGGAGCTCGCATCACAAAAATGTTTTCCGATGCTCAAAAGGTGAGAGTGACTAATTTCTGTTACTTTAAAAAAAATACGTTTATTGATTTACATTACGAAAAATGTTTCTTTCATCAACAGGCCGCTTACATGACGAACAGCATGAGCACCGAGTCGGACTCTTTGTCGTTGGACACGAAATTCAAGCCGTTCCCTGAACCCTCAGCCAAGGAATTTATTCTTCGAACGATGGCTCCACGTCCTACGCCTTCGTCCTCGTTGCAGCCCCAGCGTCTTTATGTCAGTCTTCACAGAGACGGTATTCGCATGGCAGGAGCATTCTCCGAGGATACCATATTTTACTAGAGCTCGTCGAATTAGTTGATGCGCTTGAAACTTTTGTACAGAAACACGGCGGGGTCTTGACACGCGCGTAGATCGTCAATTGTATATTTATTTTTTGGTCTTGAGTAAAAAATAGCTTTATGAAATTTAACAAGGCTAATGGTGTCAATTAAAAATTACCGTAAAAGTTAATGAATTAAAATTCAATTTTAATCAAAAATCAGTTTTTCAACTCGGAAGTAAAAATATAGTTTTTTCTAGTTTCGGTTTTGCGAATAAAAATTGCTGTACTATGTCGTCGAATTCTTCGAGAGCCAGCTGAGCGTGTAATTGCAAAACCGGATCTTTATCGTTGTCGCGCAATTGTTTGAGACTGCGATAGAGGGTGACGAGGTTTTCGCCCAACTCGACTAGGGCGTCTTTCCCGAGTCCTCGAAGCAGAAGTGTCGCCACGAGAACGCCGGCTCGTCGACAACTGTCGTCCTTGTCCGTTTTTACGATGCAACCAATGCAGTGTAGAATCTAGAAAATTGTTTATACTCTTAGATCATTATGTTATGTTATGCGTACAAGAACACGAATAAATGTAAATAGTGTTAAACTTACCTCGATTATTAAGTTTCCAAGCCTGAAACCCATCATTTTACATAGTTCACCGAGACATGAAAGACTCGAGGCGCGCACTAGAGGATCGGGATCTCTGGTACCACACAAGAAGCCATTTATCAGTAAACTCTTATACTTTGGTATCATTTCACCTGAAAAAAGTATAATTTCATTTTTGATAATCGTTAAGGGATAAAATAAAAATTTAATCTATACCTAGTGCTCTCGTTGTCTTAACGAGAATTTCGCCAAGCTTAGCACGCGTTTCGGGTGCTACATCGCGATTCTTAGTTTGCTGGGTAAGACCAATGAATTCTTGAATTAATATTTCAATAACTTTATCCGGAAACTTGGAAGACAAGGCACAAATTCCGTTGACTGCTGCGAGATAAATAAATGAATCCTCGTGATCGAGATTTTTCTGAAAAGGGAAATAAAATTGTTAACAATTGTCAACTAAAAATCATATTTGATAAATTCTTATTCATTTACTTGAAATAAGCACAGAAGGAAGTCTTCTTTTGCTTTTACTTCAGGGTGACGATTCTCGATCAATTTTGTAAGGCATATAATTCCATGAGCACGGACTGGAAGTAACGGATCAGCTAGATCAGCTAGTGCTTTATCGAACTCGTTCAACTGTTTGTCTGACGATAAATCATAATAACTCTTGGAGGACTTGCCCTTCTTCTTAACTGTTGTTTCCACCTCTTCTAAAATCGAAACTACGTGTGGAGGAATTTTCGTAAAATCAAACTGCTTCTTAATTGAAGTAACAAAATCTTCAAATATTTCCCAAGACTTAGTGATGTTCTTATCTGTGAGTATAACTTTTATCAACATTACACTCGTGTACAACATACTGACATCTTGCTCATACGATTCCTCATCTTTTGAGCTGGAAGCAACTTTGCAAAAGTAAAACTTAATGAATTCCAACAGTGGTTCAGGATTCTTTACTTGTTCTTCTTGCACCAAAGTGGAACTGGACAGTAGCGTTAACAATTTTACAGCCGTGAGTTGCTTCTCTATCCTTTCATACATGTCTTCCAATGTCTCTAATAGTTTGCCTTTTTGCACATTCTGTGCAGCATCACTTAATTTCGGTAATACTTTCAATAAATAGGAGAATAACTTAAAGGACAGAGATCTATCTTTTGAAACCAAATCGAAAAGGCAATCGGCGAACTCTTCGTAATTTATTGATACATCTTCTGAAGTGATTTCGATTTCACAGTTGACCCCAAAACGGAAATGAAGTATATTACCATATTTTTTTTTATGATCTTTGTGCTTTAAAAAGGCAGAAAAAATTTCTGTAGTTGATGTACTTTCGAGAACTTTCAAAATTAACTGACGAATGTGACTTCGATGAACATAAACACTTTTATACGTTTTTACATAAAGGTAAAATAACGGCAGAGCAACTACTGTTAAAAAATCTATCGGCAGGCATTTGAAATCAGCATCAGCCACGATAAATAATTTGCACAGGTTTTTAATGCATTGGGAAACTTCTTCCTCAGTTTTGATAATGTTCGACTGCTTCGTTGTGACAACAGGTGTTGTTTGAAGTGGTTCCATTATAACACGCATAATTTTTTTTACACATATATCTGGATTATGATCATGCAGAGCCTTAATGTAACAGTTTGTCATAAACACTGTTTGTTTACTGTCTTTTGAATTAAGAAAGCTCACAATCTGTTGAAGCATAAATAATTAAAAATTGATTCAACGTTTGAAAAAAAACTTTTTTAAAGCCACGTTACCTGAGAGCAAACAGAGTTATAATACGCTTCGGCATCTTTTCCGCCTGATGCGGCAATGAGTCTTGCAGTAACATCCAGTTTGTCCCAACATTTCCCCACATCAGAAACATCATCGCAAATTGCTACTGTTATAGCTCCTACGCCATTCGGCTGCATAATCCTGTTTGTTAAATAATTCCGAATGCTTACCTGGAGCCATTTGGGATTATTTTTTATTCCCATTATTACCATCAATCCCTTAATCAACGTGGATTGCGGGCATTTTTCAATGAAATCTTGTAGTTTTTGATGGAAAAATTCTTGTTCCTTTTTTAATGTGTCGTACAGTTCTGTCGTCATTATAAACTTCGACTCGGAATCCCCAAAAGTTGTGTTATGAGTATCAACAGGCTTTGCCAATGGTGCATGTGATATTTGCAACAGTGCCGCCAGCAAGCAATCTAGTTGAGGTATCAAAACAGGCCTCAGAGTATCATTTTCAAAACATTGTAAAAATATTTTTACTGTATGCGACAACTTTTTGTGCATCTGAAAAATAATATTTAATCAGAGATGGTAAACTTTAGAACAAAAATATTTAACCAAATAAAAATTACCTCTAGTATACTGTCATCAAAATTTATTTTAAATATCCTAGGGCGAGTAGAACTCATGTGAATTTTAATGTTTGGGAATAATGATGGAATAATACCAATAGATGCTGCACTTTCAAATGCTGTTTTTAGAATTTTGAGCTGATTGACACTGAGCAATGGATTTTCAACACTTAACTCAGTTTCTAGTAGGTTTACAATAGTACACAAAAGCAGTTTAAGATACTTCCACCTGTGAATGAGATTTATTGTCAACTCATCATATATTTGTTTAGAAGTTTTCAATTTTTTTAATATAATAATTGTTACCCAGTATCACTTTGATCATTCTTATCTATTATTTCACATAAATTACTTGCTGGAATTACAGAATATGCTATGTCTAGGAATTCTTGTAGTTTGTTCTCGGTGACCTCATTTGCTGTAAAAATAGGAATGATATTTAAGATTTTCAACTTTAATTCGAAATATAGTAATTTTACAGTAAACCGTACCATCCTCATATTTGGTTAGTAGCACCAAAATTTCATGACAGTCCATGATGACTTGATAACTGATCTATTATATTTTAGTAACATTTAACTTCTGTAAACATATGAGCAATGCACCAAGTGCACTGATGATCTATAGATTTGATTAGGTACTGACTTATACCTGCGCTCCACAATCACCGCAATCCGCAATGCTGTCTGTCAGTTAATGTCAGTGCACATGCATGTGAGTGCGAGAGAGACATGAGGCATGATACAAAAACTACACACCATTCCGTTGTTTCTGTGTTATCCACTCCAACGTTCCTGTTTTATTGGTTGTGGGGTTGTACCATTCCAACGTTCCGGTTTTATTGGGTTGTGTTGGGTGTAATCCGCAATCGCCACCAGCAGTAAATCGACAGTAAGTATCGCCCTCCAATCAAGCAACGTCTCACATAAGTAATATCTAACTGCTGGTGGCGATTGCGGATTACACCCGTTATGGGGTTATACCATTCCAACGTTCCTGTTTTATCGGGTTATTTCATTCCGCCGTTCCTGTGTTGTACTAGTCCGTTGTTTCCGTATTTTTTGGTATTATTTTATTATTCGATAAATGTGATCGCTTTCGAGATTGACCGTACATGCATAAAATTTGACGAAATCGTAACAGTAACAAACGTCCTCCGTGCATGCGCCGACTAGGTTGTATTACCATGAGGCGTGCTCCCTAGAACGTGTTCGGTTCGATTCATCGTTCGCACGTTCGTTCTCCGTTATATCTAATGCTTAAGGAACGTACGGTTCACCGAACGATTTATTTTTTAAGCATTGGTTCTAATGGAGAGCGAACGAACGACGAATAATCGAACGTGTCCTATCAATCTCGAATGAGTTTGTTTTGTCTGTTCCGTATAGTGTCTTTCTTTTACACCCACAATGATATTTTATTTTGGTTTACGGAATGCACACATCAGACATTGCAGCCCTTCATCTCAATCTTAGATCTCAATCAATGTGTTGGATAAGGACAAGGATGACAGGCCTTTTAGTGCGGTGGCATGACCCACACGTGTATATACACCGCGCTATAGCAGAAGGAATATTGTTCTAAAGGCATTTAAATTTTTGTTGGGAAGTATATCTTACCCAATCAAAGTATTTATTTACACTTAATCAACAGGTCGGTTTATACACGTGCAATAGCTGAATTCACCATTTAAATCATGATATGAAGTACAGTTTTGATAGTACAATTTTTTTTTAACAGGTTATATTTACAATCTACAAGCCAATGAAAAATTGGGGATTTTGTGATTTGTGCGTGACTGCACCAGACAACACAGATAATTTGAAAGACATTTTACTCCGACTACAGAAAGGTAAGTTTTTTTTGTGATGGTATTGTCAAAGCCCATCTGTAGATATACAAATAATGTAAATCATTGTAAATTCCAGCTGGATATAATACCGTTGTAATAAATCAAAATGTTGATGAAGCTGTATTTGAAAATGAAAAGAAAAAGAAAAAGAAAACCGTTGAAATCGACACCTTCTGTCCTGTCCCTGAACCAATTGATGTATCAGAATTGAAAAACTTGTTTAAGGGAAAATTAAACATTTTAAGTAGGATTACTTTCTCTTTTTCAGATCCAGTTAAAACTCATTCTATGGTTTGTGTATTATTTTCCTTATCACTCCAGACTTCTTGGTCATCATTACATTTGAAATTTGATAAATTTTAGAATCAATTAACTGTGCTAAAAAAATACAATATATATGCAGTTATCCCCAAAACTCAAGCAGCATTCCAAGTAAGCATGTACGAGTTTTTATGTTCATTCACTAATTAATTCAATTTGACCACTTGTCTTTTAGTTTGCTTGCTCACAACTTGGTGCAGATATTATTCTTATAAATTCCACTTCATCTGGGCTGAAATGGAGTAGAAAACTTTATTTCCAGGCTGTAGAAAAAGGAATACATTTTGAAATACAATATGCACCAGTGATTAAAAACTCCACTAGAAAATTGGCAATTCACGTTTCTCATTTATGTTATACTTTTGGTAAAAGTAAGGTGTGTAAAATGTTAATCAACATCAATTTCAACTTTTGCAAGGCGAATTTTTGTATTTTTCAGAATATAATTATTTCAAGTGGAGCTAATGACCCATCCGTAATTAGGAACCCATACGATGTAATCAATTTGTATCCTTTTAGATTTTACTAATTTCCAATACATTCTTTTTATATTTTTCGATAAAATATAAAAAAAAAAAATTATCTTTGCATGGTATAAGAGCACCATAAATTCCTCAATTAGTCCACAGAGCAAGGATGTTGGGCTTAGATGAATCTAAAGCTAAAATGGCAATACTTCAACAAGCTCATCATGTGTTAGCAAAAGGAGGTTCGTTGTTGCTGGTATTTATTATTTTTGTTTATAAATAAATTTTTCAAATATCTTATCGGGTTTCCAGAAGGTCGATGTTTTGGAAAAGCTTTCTTTGAAATTCAATGCAGTGAGACTGATCGATCTGACAGCGAGACGAAAAAAAGGAAAAAATTCAAAACCTAAAATTCGTTGTTGATAAAGAAGCAAATCTTTGCATTTACAAAATTTTGCCGTTTCTTACATGTATTGTACATAAATCGAAATAAATATTTTTATATTATTACTTCTAATAGTGCGATCAAATTAATGAGCAATCAAAAAGTTAAAACAAAAAAATGTTTGTTACCCGTTGCACGGGAGCATTAATCCTCGTCAGGGAACCACACCCTGACCATTCCCTGATGAGTCATACAGAAGAACAAAAAACACAATACAACTTCAAAATAACTAATCATTAGATCTTAAAAAAAAAATTTTAAGCTATAATATTATTACAATTTCTACGTAAATGTAAAAAAAAATTTTTTTTCACTATTTAGTGCTGCACATTGATAAAAGTCTGCAAAAAGAACTGCGTTTCCAGTATTCATGTATATTCACATTAAGGTGAAGCTAAGAAACTCCGATTCGGGTTCAGCTGATTCATCTCGAACGGATCAAATAATTACTTGTGAGCTTCGAGAGAGCTAAAACCACGTAGCGTGCTATTCTCTGCTAAAGGCCATCTAAAAATCTCAGTACAATTTCCGAGGCAACTTTTCAAAAAACTTATGTTTCCTTGAATTTAAGATAGGAATAAATAAAAAATACGTCTAAACCTTTAATTATTATACAATAATGCATGTCTGGACTAACTATCTTTTTCATAAATCGTAAGATTGTGTCACTCCTTCCATTAATAATTGAGTTAAGAAAAATTGTTAAACACCATACGAAAAATTGTCTCGTAGAGATTTTCATGATCGTTATTCAACATGATGCATATGTTCACAGCTTGGTTTACTGTACCAAATTAAAAAATCTAAAGTTACTTATTTATTTTTTCTATTTAAAAAAAATTTTTTGCTACGGCTGAACGTAATTTCCCGTATATTATAAACTTAGACACAATATCACCGAGCCTTTTGGTCAATATGAGTATAATTTTATGAATAATATTATGAAAAAAGAGCGTAAAAATAGATTTGACGAGACAAATTTTAACGATTAAATTAAAAGAAAATTAAGAGTCCGTATTCCGAAAATAAACGTTTTATCTTTAATTTGCGACAAGTTAAAAGCGTTAGGAGATAATTACTGATTTCAAAATTTTCTAACGAGTTAAAAATTTTAACAGTTATAATATACTTAGCAATTTTTCGGGTTGAAAATAAAGTTAAATTTCAAAATTCATCGATAATTATAAGTAGACTTTCAGTTTTTCTTAAAAGATAAAATATAAATAATTACACTTGTTGTCGATAAAACACGAATAGAAAATAAAGTTTTTGGCCAAGCAAAACGTTCATATGTTTTTTTTTTTTCAAAAGTTATACTTATTTCTTTATTTTCCGAAAACTTGATTTTTTTCCTCCGAAAATTGTAACAGCGAGTCTCATTGAATAGTACCTAATTCTCCTCGTAGGAATAACAATGTAGGCTAGAGGAAGTACGTACGTATTAAAAATTATTTTATTTAAAAAAGTGTAGCTCACTGGGACCAAATATAAAATTTTATTTAATTGCCGCAGTTACTGACTTTGTTATTTTTTTTTTTTTTATTTATAAAAAAAAATAAGCATCACACTGAAGTTGTAATAATTCTCAAAATCATGAAAATTAAATGATGCTTCTTGTGTTAACATTAAATAATTTTAATACTTAAATTGCACGTATAACATGCTTAGTTACTATTTGAATAACTTGAAGATTTTGTGACGTGTTATCACTGTACTAAACAGTGTACTACTGTGATCTGTGATGTACATACATGTACGTCACACACCGTATGTGTACGTCACGCACATGAGACCTACGACATAACCGACCTACGCGCGCGAGGGCGCGAGTATTTCTTGCAGGGTATAAGTACGGTCGGTCTTATGGTGTGGCATCTCAAAGTCTCGTGGGTTGCCTCTCTCTCGTCTTTTGTGGGTCGAATTGTACGAAACCCGATCAATTAAAGACCATATTCTGTTAGGTTTACATTGAAGTTATTATAGGGCATATAGGTATTTTTGGATATTAAGAGCAGTAGGCAGATAGCACTGATAGCCCTACACCAACGAGTTACAGGCAGGTCGCAGACACGCAGATTTCTCAGTCTGTCTCGGTCCACCTGCTGGTCCAGCAGGTTCATTCCAGGGAACGTTACCTATACTCACGTTCAAGTTGTTCGCACGTCTTCATTTATCACTTTCATTAAGGTTACAGTATATTTATCTTGTATATACCTAATATACCTATCGCGGAGAGTATATACGGAGACTGGGGGCGTGGGAGCCACGCGTGGAAACGCGCACGACGAGAAAACGAGCTCGCCCACACGCGCTTACACAGTGCATACCTCTGTCGGGCTTAGCAGCTGCTGTCTCGTCATTGTCAGTCCGTCACCCAGCCTGAACGTTTGTAGACAATTTGGCGAATAGCAGGTCTTCGCCAACTTTGGTTAAATTCCGCGGATAAGGAAAAATAAACACATTTCAACACTCGCGAGACATGGCAGCGGTCTTTGACATTGAGTTAACGGACGGAGATATTGTGCAGAAAGAGGACTCTGAGGACGATGATGATGTTATTGAAATTACTGAGGTACACCCAGATCACCCTTTTTGTTTTTTTGTGTTCTTTGTTTATTACCCTTTGGCCAGACTGTCTTAGTGCTGTGTGTAAACCTGGTCTGTTTGGACCAATCTCCTTTTCCTCATTCCTACAGGTTCTACCTGAAATTTTGTTGGATCCACAGTACTGAGTTCCATCGTCTTCTGGCATCCTTTTCCCGAGCACCTTATGTTAAGCTGCAAGTAGGGCATTTCTCCTCTGTATTCTATTTAATAACTGTTTTGATATTTTTGATTCACTACTTGTATACTTGAAACGTCCTTCTGCTACAATTTTTCAAATTTACCAAAAAAATTAACACATAATATAACATGTACTTATCTCTCTTTTGTTTACTGCTTCAGGAGGGGTATGATGACAATCCAAATGTTAACGAAATCCTCCAGTAAGTATTAGAATAGTTATTTTTATTTCATTTTTGTACCTGTTTCTTAAAAACTTTATTATATCCTTTTATTATTGTTTAACACTCAAAAATTTGCTGTATCACTCTGTTACAAAATTTTATTATTGAATACGACATATTTTTGTGGATGATAATTATTGACCTAACTTAACTACAATACTATGTTCTTCTTTAACAGGACTGATGGAATCGAAACTGTAACAATATCCGAACAAAATGTGGGAAGGGAAAAAGTAGGACAAAACGATTTCCAAATATGCAAGGTTATAGGAAGAGGTGGTTATGGCAAGGTATTCCAAGTTCGTAAGACTACTGGAAATGACAATGGCACTCTTTTTGCTATGAAGGTGAGTTGACTGTTAGATTGAAAAAAAATCTTTGCATAATTTAATTCATCTGCATTTTTTAGGTGTTACGTAAGGCATCAATAATAAGGAATCAAAAAGACACGGCTCACACCAAAGCTGAAAGAAATATTTTAGAAGCTGTTAAGGTACATTTGGTTTTGCTTTTCCAAATAAGCTTTTTATTAGTAAAAGTAAGACTTTGTATCAATATTGCAGCATCCATTCATCGTTGACCTTATGTATGCCTTTCAAACTGGAGGTAAACTGTATTTAATACTTGAATATATGTGCGGTGGTGAACTTTTTAGGCATCTAAATTACGAAGGCATATTTTTAGAAGACACAGCGTGGTCAGTATATATTTATTGAAAATTTTTTCATTAATTATATTAATCATGTATGGTGTTTGCGATATAACGTGTCAAAAAATTATAAGCAATATTTTGACTTTTCTATACAATACAATCAGTTATAACTCGGACGGTCCTATAAAATCAAGCAATTCGTAAGTTTGTATTTACAAAAATATCTCCGCAACTGGGGATTGCCCGTCATAATTTTTTGTCACACGACCGATCTTTAAGCATACATTATTGGGGGGCATCGTGTAGACGGAAGCGTGGTAAGGCTTTGTTTGAGCTTAAGTTTCCATATCTCTCAAGTCGATTCAATGGGCTCTTGATATAAAGAGTGATAGAGAGAGAGAGGTATGGTATTTTTTAACTCGGTATGCAATGTCACGCTCTCTCACATTAAAATAATCCGCTTTGTCACTAAAACAGTGTCTTGAGTGGCCAAGTTGTAACATCATGACGCGTTATATCGTATCGCAAATCTTATGCAGCTACTATATCTCTTAATTTTGTTACTTTATCAGCTTCTACCTGTCTGAAATTATATTAGCATTGCAACATCTTCATTTGCAAGGAATCATTTATAGGTAAGAAATTTAAAACATTTTCAATACAAGTGATAATCATGATGAGTATTCTTTCAGAGATTTGAAACCAGAAAACATTTTACTGGATGCTGAAGGGCACATTAAATTGACTGATTTTGGACTATGTAAGGAGCATATTGAAGACGGCCATGTCACTCACACATTTTGTGGCACGATTGAATACATGCAAGTATTAAAAATAATTTTTAATGATATTCTAGCAAATAACTTTGACAAAATTTCAATATTTTTCATTGATTATCCGAATTTTTTTGTTCGAACTTTTAAGTGTTATATAAAATTTTAGGGCTCCTGAAATCTTGACCAGAAATGGACATGGAAAGGCAGTTGACTGGTGGAGTCTTGGTACACTTATGTACGACATGTTGACTGGTGCTGTAAGTTTTATTTTTACATTAAAAATTCATGTGTCGTTAAGTCATTACTAGGAACTATTGTTCAAATTAAAATAGGGTATACTACTAGTTGTTATACCACGACTTATACAATTTTATGTTACTTATCAATAATATTTTTACAACTGATGTGTAAAATAAAATTAAAAAAAAATTTTATGATTTACAGCCTCCTTTTACAGCTAATAATAGACGGTCTACTATTGAAAAAATATTAAAAGGAAAACTAAATTTACCTCAGTATCTCACTCAAGATGCACGAGATCTTGTTAGAAAATTGTTAAAGGTATATTTTGTCTCAGGCATTAGATGTGTTAAGATGTTTTAAAAAAAATAAAATAACTCAATCTTCATATTAATCCAGAGGCAAGTTCCGTTACGTTTGGGTTCGGGTTCAGCGGATGCTGAGCAAATTAAAAATCACAACTTTTTCAAGCACATTAATTGGGATGATGTCATATCTCGTAAGTTGGAACCTCCATTTAGACCTAAATTATCAAGTGAAGATGATGTCTCACAATTTGACAAACGGTTTACAACGTCGGCACCCATCGATTCGCCTGCCGAATGTACACTCAGTGAATCGGCTAACCAAATTTTTCAGGTGAATACTTATTGTACCCATTGTAGATATTTTTAAAATATTCGCCCATTTTTTCCAGGGCTGGCTGACTTTTTTTTAATGTTAAAATTGTAATAAACTAGACAATAACTTTTACCGTAATATAAACCAAATTATTGTCATTTACGTTTCGTTGTACTAGCACTTGTACAATTATCCTCCATTATAGCAGGGCATAATTAAAAATTTACAAAAACATACCCTATGTATAAAAAAGTGTTACCACTAATGTCCGACTGAGATAAAAAATTATTTTTCAACTCCTAAATAACTATACTTTTTTTAGGGTTTCACCTATGTTGCGCCAAGTATATTGGAAGATATGTATTCAGAACCTAGAATAATAAACGCCAGAAGTCCTCGTAAAAACAATGTACGCGGCTTTTCGCCACGTAACAGTCATTTTAATTTGCACATTTCACACGTGCAGAATCACAGGTAACATTAAAATTTTTAAGGAACTAATTCTATCGACCAACTTGATTTTTAAGTAAAACTTTTTTCAGGCATAACGGCATGGGGCAAGGCTTAGAAGACGCAGAAATGGTTGAAATAGGATAAGGCCTTGGTATGTTATCACATGATTACTAGACTTCTTAAAACTATGTTTATATCGCGGTAACCTTTCTGAATGTAGATACGTCATAGATAAATTATTTTACTTTACTTATGTACAATACATTTTATACAGCCTGAACTTTTCAGTATATTAGTGTCGTCAATAGATAGGGTTTCAAATTCTAAAATTTAAGTTACTTAAAGTACTATTCTAAGTAAATAATATGCCAATGATTCATTTAATAACTTCAACCTATTAAATTTATATAAACATACGTATGCATATAATTACATGAAGAAGTCAATAGAAGTAAAAAAGGATTCAACGCCTTTAACAGATAATTTTTAAAGGTTGTCGTTGATATTGTTGTAATCTAAGAAACGTTTAATTTTCCCATGTTACTTTTTAAAATTATTTCTTGACTCTAAAGTTTATAAAGAGTTTGAAGTTTACGTTTAATTTAGCAATTTTTGATTATTTTTAGCGAAAAATCACTAGTATTATTAATTTTCAAAAAATCGTAAAGTTAGTTTGTCATTGCAATTAACAGAGGTGACTCATGTAGGAAAACAAATTTGTGCATTAAAATGATGTAAAACATCAATGTATATCAATTGGCAATACTTGCTTGGTATCTATTATCGAGTATAAATTAATATTTAAGTTTGAATATGCTTGTAAGAAACTTTGCTAAAACTTTGTACTTTTCTGAAATATTGAAATTGTCTATGATTTTGAAACTGACCACTACTTTATAATGAGTGTTAATCTTCTTGTAATGATGTCTAAAAAAAAAAATTTTATAAAATTTAATGCTGCTGAAAGGACATTGAAATTTGATGATAGTTGAGTGATTAGAAAAAACGATTTTTACCTAATTTAAAAAATCATAAATAAGAATCAACAGTTCGAACAAAAAATGTTTAAGTTAGAAGTTACAAATAATATATTTAATAAAAAAATATCAAAACATGGAATCACAAAAAAACAGCATAAACTGCCTGATCAAAAACAATTTTTGTATTTTATAGTGAGAACACTTAAGGGAACTTTATTAAAGAATCATGTATATGTTTGGACCTATATAAACGCACATGCTACGTGCAGAGTTGTTGTATATTGCACATTTTGTACTACTTTATTTTATTTTCAATGTGAAATGTGAGAATTTAATATGAATGAAAAATCACTTGAATGAAGTAGATTATGTAACATCAAAAAATAATGGCAATGATAGCCTTTACATTGTAGTATAAACAAGACTATGTTTCATAATTAAATTGCATTGTATATAACATACACTCAACTACATACAATACGACACTTTGCGAGCAGAGCATTATCTTAATTTTAAAGTACTATAATCCTGTTTTATATATGAGTATATATTTGATTTTGTGCCTACTTAAAAGTAACATAAACATACAATTTTTAATAATATAATCGAATGGTTGTGCTTTCACTGTAATCTGAAAAAAAAAAAAAAAAAAAAAAAATAAGAAATGCAATAACCTCGTCAAGTGCCGATAAAAACTGCCCCCTGTTTCAAAATAGAAAATTGAATCAATTTTTTATATAATATACATAATGTACGATATAAAAAATTGTGTCTATAGCATTTTATAATTGTTAATCAATAACGAATGGGATGATTACAGAATTTAAAACGTTTTTTATAAATTTTTTCAATGGAAATGATTGAAATAACTACAGTTTACATTATAATACTATAGGGTTCTAGTTTTTTTAACATATTTTTTATGGTATCTGTACTTTGAAAATTTTAAGATAGCATCTAGTCATCTGTGTTTAAACAGAATGATACAACTTTTTTAACAATGTAATGTAAAGAAAGTGTAAACTTACAGTAATTCGATATTGATTGCATTATTAATTAAAAAAATCGTACCTAACTTGAAATTTGACAGTTTATCAGTGCACCTTGAAAATATAATAAATTGTTTTCTGATTAAATATTATAAATTGTTAGAGTGAGTGAACATTGAAATAAAAAAGTGCTACGAAAACATTGTATAAAAAATGTATTAAAATAAAAGAAGCATTTGCTCGTTATGTTACTATTGAAAATAAATGCTGAAAAATAAAAAGTTTTCATTATTAAATATATTTGAATAATTTCAGCTACTTGTTCACATAAGTATATCCCATTGGTTACATAATTTTATAGCAGTATGTACAACACTTCTGTCCCATTTTTATTTATTTATTTTATTGTCATTCATATTACCTCCCTGATCACCCCCTTTGTTAAACTTATTTACCAATCCATTAGACACTAGCAATTTATGGCACTTGAATATAAGTCAATTCATAATTAACTACTTAAAAAATTATACCTTTAAATTACGTTGTTGTGCAAAAGAAACTGGCCATGTACCAAATAACGGGAAAGTTCAACTTTTTTGTTTTCCCCTTTGTTACGAACCATATAAAAGTTTGAAATATTGATAAAATTTTCATACAAATAGTTTTGTACCCAAGTTTTAACTTGTGATTTGACTAATGCTTTTTATGACCAGTCTCGGTTTACTTTTTTTGACGTCAATTTTTTTGTCTACTGCTGAGCAGCTGAGGTTTCGAGTCTTCGACATATTTACGTCATGTTATGCGCAATACAACATCACAGCGAATAAGCTTGCATTGTTTAATGGCACCTGCAATACCTGCATGTGCCATGTACTGCTGTATCTACCTTGTCAGCTGCTGCGCCTTAATTCACGACCTACTAGCCATAAGTGAAAGTTTCTCATTGACTGCCTGGTTATCGTTAACTATCCTATTTCATTGATGGATTTAATGTAGTATGGGTCGTGAATTAACTTTAGTCGGGCGTAGTGCATTATAATAATCACGTAGTATATATATATTATGTGAACCTACCCACCCCAATCGTACGTCATCAAGACTCACACGGTACTCGGACATTTCAAAGACGTTAGTGTGCGACATCACTGTTGTTTTGGAATTTTTGGATGTCTCGATGCTGTCGATATTCACGCAGTCATACAGTCATAGTGATGTGTAGGATGTGTTGAATAAGTCTTGGCTTGGAAGCTCAGGCTTCAGTGTAACGATGGCAAGTTTAGTGTGACATTAACGGTGTAGAGAAACACTATTGTAGCAAGTTTTTTCAGCCTACAATGAGTGTAGTTGAAAATTTGCTCTCAACTATCATGCTGCAAGATGCATTGTTACATACTGCACAGGATTACAACATACTTACTTTTAATTAAATGAAAATTAAATGACCTAGTGACTCATTGTGCTATTTCTATTTCTCGAGCTTCTCCAATACACTCACGATGTTTTTTTGATGAAAAATAAAAACGACTATCGCAGCTTCTATATTATCTAATAAAATCAACAATGATAACGCTTCGAACAAGGCTACAGCCCAGTTAGTACTTCTTGGCACACTGTCACTATTTTGTGTTCACTCTACCTGATCAAACTTTTTGTTGTCAGTTTTTTAAACTATAATGTTGAGGAACTCGAGTAAAGATTTTAACGTTTTCAGCTCTCGATCTTTTAATTTGTGTACTGCTTTTGTACAGAAACAGATTTTTTATTTCATACTTGACTGGCATCTTTATTTTCTTTGTTCATGCTTAAAAAAAAATTTCTCTCACGTGACTTTGCTTAATTAGGAAACGATTTCAAGTGCTCAATCTGTTATTTTATCATATAACTTGCTTAGTTGATTTATAAGCATTTGAAGAAATATATTTCATTGTGTGAAATTTTTAATAATGATTCCAACAAAGGCAAGTAGTTCAAATCGCAATTTACAAAAATCTACACTACTGAAAGTTGTTATTTTGGGTGATGGCGGAGTAGGAAAATCTTGCCTTATGAACCGATTTGTGTCGGATCGTTTCGAAGAACAAAGCTTTCATACTATTGGAGTTGAGTTCTTGAACAAAGAAATTGACATAGGAGGAGAATCCTATATGTTACAAATTTGGGACACTGCAGGTCAAGAAAGATTCAAAACATTAAGGACTCCATTTTACAGAGGATCTGACATTTGTTTGCTCACTTATGCAGTTAATGACAAAGACAGTTTTCAAAACTTGTCTCTCTGGAAAACAGAATTCCTTAACTATGCTGACGTGCGAGAAGAATCAGCGTTTCCATTTATAATTGTTGGCAACAAGGTAAGTTGGCTTTTTTTTTTACCTGTATCAAATGAAATTTGTTCCCACTCATTAAAATATCCAGCTTAAAACATAGTGACACTTGACAAAGATTAAATAGAAATAATGAATTAGAATTTTTGCATGGCTGTTGAGAAAAAAATGTATGTGGTCTAAATCACATTAAAACTGTAAAAGTATGGCTTATGTATATAAAAAAAAAATATTGAAAACAGGTGGATGTGCCAGAATCAGAAAAAGTAATATCAACCGAAGAAGCAAAAGCATGGTGCTTGAAAAATGGTGACTTGCCACTAGTAGAAACTTCCGCTAAAAATGCTACTAATGTAGAAACTGCATTTGGTGCTGCTGTAGCAGCATGGGCAAAACTTGAAGCTCGGATAGAGCATCCCTTCATAGAAGATACAGTTGATCTATCAAAACAACAATCCACACATCGCTCAGGCTGCTGTATGCCCATTTCTGGATCGGATTGAGTATTTTTAACATTATCAGTATTAATGCTTCGGAGTGTAAAAATTGTAAAAATTATATTAACACAAAATAAGTGTATAAATATAACGTTAAGAATCTTTGTGTGCACAAAGACATAACACTTAACTTCAATGTTTTACGTAAGCTATCTTTAAAATTACGGTCCGCAATAGACTTGCTTCAAATAAAGTCATTATAGTTGCCGGTAGAACAATTTTTTATAAAAACCTACAAAATGGAAATGATTGAAATAACTACAGTTTACATTATAATACTATAGGGTTCTAGTTTTTTTAACATATTTTTTATGGTATCTGTACTTTGAAAATTTTAAGATAGCATCTAGTCATCTGTGTTTAAACAGAATGATACAACTTTTTTAACAATGTAATGTAAAGAAAGTGTAAACTTACAGTAATTCGATATTGATTGCATTATTAATTAAAAAAATCGTACCTAACTTGAAATTTGACAGTTTATCAGTGCACCTTGAAAATATAATAAATTGTTTTCTGATTAAATATTATAAAAATAGGGTATACTACTAGTTGTTATACCACGACTTATACAATTTTATGTTACTTATCAATAATATTTTTACAACTGATGTGTAAAATAAAATTAAAAAAAAATTTTATGATTTACAGCCTCCTTTTACAGCTAATAATAGACGGTCTACTATTGAAAAAATATTAAAAGGAAAACTAAATTTACCTCAGTATCTCACTCAAGATGCACGAGATCTTGTTAGAAAATTGTTAAAGGTATATTTTGTCTCAGGCATTAGATGTGTTAAGATGTTTTAAAAAAAATAAAATAACTCAATCTTCATATTAATCCAGAGGCAAGTTCCGTTACGTTTGGGTTCGGGTTCAGCGGATGCTGAGCAAATTAAAAATCACAACTTTTTCAAGCACATTAATTGGGNGCTATTTTTTTACATGTTTAATACAGTCATTAAACCCTATAATCAACAGGTTTCAACGTGGTGGAAGAAACATAAAACAATATTCTCCCACGATGGGCTTAATTTTATTTTACACAGTAAATAACTCAATATCTTGCGCATCTGTACTATTTCATATAGTTGAATTTTAAGTTTTTTTTCCAACGCAAACCCAACGAATAATATTTTAATTTCACGAGTATCCGTTGACATAAAAAATTTATTTTCTTCGAATTGCTTTTTTATTTTCCATATAAATACTTGTTTCAACATGAAATATAAAGATACCATATCATATTTTTTTGCGACGAGAACGGAAGCACATGACTATCATGTAATTTTGAAAATATCTGTTTTGTGTTAATTAGTTACAGTAGAGTATTACTTTTTTTAATTAACAAAAAATTTGTGTTTAGTTTGATACAACTAAATTTCATATTATTAGTCTTTGAGTTATTCCATTTTAATTTTGTCACACAATAGCTTTATATTGTTTGTACACATGATTTTTACATCTTTTGGAATAGATTTTATGAAATTTAACTTAGTCCTTGTTACACTAGGGTATATTTATACAAAAAATTGTGCTATTTAAGTTCATTCTTTACATAGTAAAATGATAATTTTACAAAAAAAGTCATAAGGCAAATTCCCAAATACATTGGGAAGTCGTTATACTCAAATTAATGGCAGTGTTCAGTGACGTCTACTATAACCGATTTTTTCCAACCGAATAAGAAGTATCCAATAGCTGCACCTACTACCACTCCAGCACAGAGCCACGAATTGTACGTCATGAAGATCAGCATAAGGAAATACGACAAAATAACTTGCACTATATGCAGCACGGTTTGAAAGGCATGCATCCAAGAAAGCATCGTTGGCCTATCAACAAAAATACAAGATTAATTATGACGATCAAAATTCTTGAATTATTTTTTAAACATAACTGTGCAGTTTGATCAAAACATACAATTGCACTAAAAATGTCATATAATGTCAGTTCAAGTGACTATAGATTTTTTACACTATGAATTATCTGACAATCAAAACTTAAATAAATTAACTCGTAAAAATGTCTACCTTGGAAAATAGTTTGAAATAAGGTGATTTCTCACAAATGAAGAAATCAATACAGCATGAATTAAATATCAACAATGATGCATTTAAATAAAAAAAGTCAATAAGATAGTTTTAAAAAGTAAAGGTAATACTATCACAAAAAAAATATATATATATACGCAAAGGAAATTTGAAAAGCAACAGATAGTTTTGTCAATGAAAATAAACAAAGCTCTAAGAATTATAGTAAATGAAATTGCATTCAAGTGATTATTAACAGACAGTAAAAATATTTATTTTTGCTAATAACTTACGGTTGCTTGTAAACAACTTCCCCGACCATACTACAATGATCAAAACGATAAAATTTGGCAAGTGTTAAAAATTTTGTTAGTTGTGTGAATTGGGTTTGTCTTGAATTTCATTAAAGATCGTGTAAAAATTGTCATTAACAAATAAGTTTGAAAAATGAATTGTACATTGTCCGTGAAATGTTAAGTTTTATTGAAGTAATAATGATGTAATGAAATATAGATGAGAAGCAAAAAATTAAAATACTCACTGAACAACACGATTTTCACTATTGATGCCATTTTTTTCTTGTGGCATGGAAACGCTTCTGTACTGCAAAGCATTATACGTTTTCCAAAACAAATACTCTCTATAATACTTGAGACCTTCGTAGAGTGCGGACATGATTATTATTCCAATGATGGATCCAATGAGACCCGAAATCGACGAAATTTTCCACGCATCGAAGAGAACAGTCTCACAGAAGCCCCCGTGGAAGGCCATCTGAGAAAATTTTTACAACGAAAACGTAAAAAATAAAGAATTTTAGTGAACACCGAATAAAGATGAATATGTCCACAGACTCACGTGCATCATATGAGACGTAGTCGCACAAGAATCTGTAGCATCGACAGCATCATGTGGGGAGTTCATATTCCCATGATCCATCATGTGGTGGTGATGTACCGAGTCCATATTATGATTCAAGTGTCCTGAGTTTGTGGGAATAGTACCCAGCCCATGTGCCATTGACGCATGATCATGGGACATCTGAAATTCAAGTACAACGTTGTTCAATTAATTTCTTGATAAAAATAAACTTTTTTTTTTAATATGTATTTTTCTCCAAGTAAAATTTTATCTAAATACTTTAAAGTGTAAAAATTATTTTGCTACATAACTTTTACATATATTCTAGTTTAACTTTTTTTCAGATGATAAATGTACCAGCCCTACCTTATATATGCATATAAGCACGGTGTTCTTCGTAAGTTAAGCTACTTGTATTACACGAATACAGCGAGAAATGTTTTTCAAAAAAAAAATCAACAACACCAGATGTGTTTAAACAGTAAACGATAGGTGAAATAAGCCTTGCTGTTGGATTCTTTAAGAAGAATCGTGTACTTGGTTGTTTTTATAATACTCATAAATTTTTTAGTTCCTCGCGCCAAAACTGTTTCCGACATGATAAGCTTTTTGTGGATGTATGTGGGTGTATGCGTGTGACATTTTATTCCAATATACGAACGCTAACAATACATCAACTGGTTTTTCCATTTCAAAGAATATACCGTATATTTACTTGATTATTCAAAAATATTGGGAAACAGCATTCCGAAGCTCAGTTGACAAGAAAACTGCTTCGTGCATCAAAATTAAATTTTCAACTAAAATATTAATTTCATACTTCCGTAAAGTCAAACATAAAACATGAAAGTTGCCACAAAAATTTTTGCATCAAATTTGTTGGGTACTTTTTTTTACAGGGTTGTACGTATTTTTCAGCTTCGATACGTTAAGTGATATTGATCACTCGATTAAAAATCACATTAGGTCAATACTGTTTTGTTTTAATGCTTGGAAAATAATTTGTAAGTATTCCGCGTTCAACGCGTCAAATTTGCATGTATTTGTGTACATTTGTTACGTAATAACTACTTTTTTTTCGCACGTTCAAAATTTCTTTAAATTCTTCAAGGTTTCATAAATACTTGAAATACCATCTTTTAATGTTATATTTTATTTTCTTCCTAATCTGCGGTAAGCCACCAACAATAAAAAAATAAAATAAAATGCGGTTACTTTTGATAAAAAAAGTCAAGATACACGAATAGAAGCAAAATTTACGTCATAGAATATTAAAAATTGGTTCGAATAAAAATTTGAAAAAAAAAAAAAAAGAAAACAGAAAAAATACAAATTTTGTACATTATTTTTTTATGTCACTGAAAACGTGAAAGTACGACTCTTAAGAAACGTTTGTGAAATACCTTCGTGAAAATTTTTTTTTAACAAGAAAAATCCATGAGTTGCTATTGTTCAATGAACAATGCCATCAGTAATGATCGATGAGTCGAAACATACTAGTTTCAACGAAGTTATTTTTGATTGAATTTCAAGTTAAAGCTGTTGTACTGTTTGATAATGAAACATCATCTTTAAAGAAAAAAAATAAAATAAAATCAGTGAAGATCATTAAGGATTACGTAAAAGTAAAATTTAACAAGAAAAATCAGTCTACCGTCTTTAAGAGACGCGTATGTCAATATTTTTGTACGTGGAAATTGCTCAATAATTCAATAAAAAAAAATTCAAGTGAAACATTAATTTCACGTATTGTAGGCCAAGTTATGCATTTCGGTCGAAAGAGAATTAAATTTTTTAGTTCACTACTAATTCAACAGCTTCTTGAGTTACATATTGATTGATTTTAATTGTTTCAATAAAGCCAGTTATTGAAGCCACTTAGTGGTGTCTATACAAACAAACCTAAAATAATGTATGATTTGAAATTCAGAAAAAAAATTTATTTTTATACTTTGAACAACGAGCAAACAAAAAAAAATGAAACACATTTTTTTTAGTTCTGATACAAAATACGTTACTAGTAAACGCATGTTTTATAAATAAACAATTATTACGATAATTAATGGAGTTTATTTCCATTAGATAGTCACATTACGATTTTTTTTAATACTAATTAAATAAAGAATCTGATTATATAACTAATAACCAGAGGGACATACTTATTTAATCGCATTTTATCACACGCAAGAAAAGTGATATATTATTCCCTAATTCGCCATTTAATAATTCAGCAGTTTTAATTTTTATTATTACTCTTGTATTACATTAGACTGATATACTTGGAGCGACTAATGCTATTTTCATCGAAACTCAACAAAATGTGCGCGTTTCGATTTGATGCTTACTCGGAAGTTATAAAGTTTATTTACATTAAAATGACTTTTATTCCTCAGCGAAAACCATCGCTTATACCAAACAGGGAATCCCCAAGAATTGTTTCCGTTTCTCGCGTATGCTATTTTTTTTCAAGGTTTTTTCATAGTGATGCCTATTACTTAGGTACTATATATTCTATCCGAAGATAATATGAAACACATACATCGCTCGTGAATCAGCGCATGAATAATTCAATAATGGTTTATTATTTTATTTTGTATCAAAACTTAAAAACCAACGAAGTATCAAAGGCCCCTTAGTTAGAGATGTATTATTATTATTAAAAATTATTACAAATATATTTTTTCGGGCTGCAAAAAACAAATAAAAACATTTTACTGATTGCATCGATGTAACGAGAATCAATGTACGATTTATTGATTGAATCTGAGTGTAGAACTCACGCATTTTTGCTTGTAGGTATAGTACAGGCTCTTAAAGTGAAAGGATTGTTCTTGTACCGTTAATATCACGTGGACAAGAAAACGATAACGATCAGAGAAAGGTAAAAAAATAAAAAACGCGAATGTTAAATATTTCTCACTTGCGCGTACAAGATTGTAATTCTGATGAAATCATGGGAAAAACTAACCTTCGCAAAAATTGCAATAAATGATGATACTCCGAAGATAATGCGTGCAAGGTTCTGCGAGGAAGTAGTATACTGCGATAAGAGAGCAAGATACGACTGGAACTGTAATTACAGTACAAGCATCGGTAGATATAGGTACAGGGCTGTTGATCTTTTGTCGTACGTCAGCTATACTCCAAAATATATAAGTATGTAAGGTAGGTAGGTAGGTACAGTGAAATGTTTAAGCTCATTACATATCATATGGTAGAAAAAGCCGTAAGTATCTTTATATTGGTGGGGCGGGATAGTAGGTAAACAATAAACAAACTGGAAAATTTTTCGATAAGTAAAATAAACACAATCTGGAAATCTGATGCTGATGTGGGAGAAAAGCGTCAGTACTCTTGGTGACAGGAATGCAGGTACATGTATTACTTGTATCTCTTTCGCAATTCAATCGTCAAACCAACCAGCCGTATGTACACTTCGGATTTAATTATGCCTATATCTATATACCTTTTTACTCGGTAAAGCTACGGTTGAGCTCTGCACAGCAAAGATAGCACAGGAGGAGGTATGTTGGGTGTACTTTCACTTGACACGAACTTATTTTCTGCACTCCACAAGTGAACCTCACTTAATTATTTTCTACAACGGTCGTCAACAGTTTTCTCAATGGAACCACTAGATCAAAGTGTGCCCTTGTTTTTTTTCTGCAATATATACCTATGATCAGTGATGTAACAACAATTAGAAATTACTTTTAGCAGTTATAATTGGTGTGTAAACTCCAATATTACCGCACATGTATATTTTATCAATTCATCAATATAGTACCTGTAAACATTAACTACACAGCTCGTTGCACTATGCTATTGAAGTTAAATGTAACAAACTTTTCTGTCACTCGGGTCAGACAGTCAGCCCTCCGTTGTTGACGGCGTTTACACTTCTGCGGGCGATTTGTTGCTACACTGCAAGACGAACGCATATGGTGTGCCATTGCCATAAGCGTGTGCGCGCGCACGATACATAGCAGAAAGCAGAACTAATCTGCAGACATTTTCAGGGACTAACGCGGCATTACCACGTTCTCCTTATACGTAGGAGTGTGCGCCGAGACACCCTGAATGTTTATTGCAAAAAACAATCTTGCCACTCAATTTTTTGATATTTTTTTTTTTTTTTTTTTTTGAGATTTTAGAGGAAAGTTCATAGTTAACGTTCGTATGTTATAACATATTGTTACGCGTTTATTTATATATAACATCTTCTCCACAATTGGAGTTTTTCCTGAGTGTCAAGCTGAAATTCCTCGTCGACTCTAGAATTCATTTGTCGCGAGTTAAAAAAAAATTTTTTTTTAAACGATTTCTGATCACATTTTCGCCTGGCAAATCTTTCTTCCCCCATACAGTAGCACATTTTAAACAAGATGGTGCAAAAAAATTACGGGCGAATTAATTTTCTCGGTCGATTGCTGATTTTGCCCCGTCTACAAGTCATATTATCTCCCTTATTCATCCCCCCCTCATTAATTGTCTGTAATTTGCGTCCGACTCATCAGCACAGCACTTCTTTTCTGTTCGCGCTTAAACATTTAAAGGGAACCGCGGGATTACTTGTGGCTAGTGGCGCACTCTCGTAGCACACGCACATGCATACACGCAAAAACTGTGACGTCAGGCTTTAAGGTGCTTTCGGAGGCCAAAATATAGATATACATTTCAGTGTAAAGCTGAACACTTGTAGTGGCCCCTAAGGGGCCGGAGCCGCCGGAGAGGTCCTCCATGCAAGTTAAAGTCTCGAACGAATCTAGTGTATTACCATGTTGTTGTCGTTGATTGTTTGGAAAAAAATCAAGTTTAAAATAAAGTACTGAAGTAACCAAGTTGCAGTGCTAAGAGCTTCAAGGTGGAAAAAGCTACTGTACAAATTTCTCAGCCATAGAAAAGAAAAAATTAGGTATACCTACTAACAATATCACAGCAAAGTATATTGTTTACTCTATTTGATCGTAACTGGACAACGATTTCGGTTTTGGCCATTTTTAGATAGTGACAGCGTTTATCATGTGTGTCTCACACATGTAGATGTTTACATTTGACACTATTTACCAATGCCTTTGGTACCTGTGCCAATCAGTTGTTAAGTGCCAAGTCGTTTATTGTCAAGTTTCACTGTCATACAGAGTTTATTATTTTTATACAGAGTAACAATGTCATTCATACCTCTCTGGCCGGACCTACAGCCAAGAGCTACGGATCCTTTGTGGTTCAATGCTGATAAGCCCATTGACGATGAAAGTGAAGTTGCTGCAATGGAACTTGAGCTCCAAGCATGGGTTTGTTTATCTTTTGATCTAAGAATCGTCTTGCCAGTACAAAAATCCTAATCAATTGAATTCTCTTTTTACAGAGGGAACAAATTCGAGTTGAAGGGTACGAGCACGTCCCAATTGGCAAGTTAGCCAGTGAAGTAAGTCAAGATAACCTTTCTATATTTAAAAAATTTTTATATATTTAACAAGCTAAGACTTGTCTTTCTTTTAAGTTTCGGGGCTCAGAAGAAGAGGAAGAGGAGGAAGAAGAAGAGGAGGGTGAGGGAGAAGAAGAAGATTCTGATACACATGAAGAAGAGGAAGAGGAAGAATTGGATGACATTGATATGGAAGTGAGTTATGCACATCCTCAGCAGAGATCGAGTCCATTGGATTCTTCAACAGATCCACCCCCTATTAGACTGGTTAGTCGTTTCTATTTTTTATCCCAGTATATTTATTGATTTTTTTTTTATGAAAAACTCACTTTTACTATTAACTCATAAACTTACATGAATAATTTAAAAATATATCAATAGTTTAAATTTTAATTCCATTTATGTTTTCAGGATCCCAATGGGACTCAGTAAAGTTGCTTGACTACCTAATGATGATGACTTGTTACTTCCAGAATTGTATTTTTTAAATAGCAAGTAGAAGTCATCACAGCGACGAGTAAAAATATCCATAAAATTAAATGTAACTGTAAGTTTAATCAAAGCTGTACATACAATAAGGTACCACGTAGTATATGAATCAATATGTATTTTTTACATTTGTTTTAAAAACAATATAAAGTTGAATTATTTCTTACAAAAAAAAAAAAAAACATTGAAAATCTATACATACGAGATTCTCATTTACATGTAAAAACTTGAAGCGTTCAATTGTGAAAAAAAATTAATCGTTTTTGATAAATAATCTTCTTTGACATATCAAATTATCACCTTCACAAATCACAGAAATTAATTTTTTGCATTGCATACAACAAAATTTTGCAATTTTTAGAACATGTAAAAATTCTTAAAAAATAAAAAATGAACAATCCCGAACAAAACAGTTGATTAAGATGAGTGAGACTGTGGACCAAGAGGGGATCTGTAACCAAACGTTACGAAAATTATTTTGTTATCGTGCACGACTGGCATCCTGGATGTTCCTTTACGAGGGAATGAGATAGTCGAATCGAAGAATATAATCGCAATACTGATTACGCATTGAAAATGTGCTTAGTTTATGGTTTACCATTTATTTCTAGACGAAGAAAAAATCTATTTATTTATTTGTTATTTTATTTTTTTTACTTTGATGCTCGTATAGTATCGTCTGTAAGACGCATACTTGAAGTATTTCAGGGAGCATCAGCAGCACAACGATGTGTGCAACAACACCTCCCACAAGAAAATGCTCGGGGTAGTTTTGTCTCGCTCTTGCATCCTGGCTCTACTTGAGCTGCTCGAGTGGTTTTTTCTACCCCATCCCCTTCTGCTACTCAGCCATTCTGGTGGTGGTTTCGCTCGCTCCAATGATGTAGTATGGCACGGTAACAGCGGTGGTGGCTGGCAAGCTCCAGCAGGCAGCAGTAAGTATTAATCCGGCACTTGGTGCAGTGACGTAACACCACCCATTTATACTTGTAAATATTCGTATACGTGTAAACGGGCGGCCAAGGGGATAGTGCGGGGCTTCGTATTGCGTCGTTACAATAATCGAAAGTGCAGGATTAGTACACTGTACTTTAAAGCCACATCGAATAAAAAAAAAAAAAAATTTTATGAGTGATGAGTAACATATTGTTAGCTGTTAGCAGTGAAAGTAAATCGTTCTGTTGTGATAAAAAAATGACGTTTGGTAACTGCGTGTAATTGTCGATCGCATTTTTAATGATAATTTAACATCTCTTACAAAGAAACTCACTTGACGTCATGTTACGACGTTAATGTTAACGTATCAAGATAAAAAGTACACTAAAGCACACCGTATGGATAAAGAATGTATGAGTGATAAGTAAGTATGGCATAAGATCGTGCTGGCTGTTGAGAAGAGTGAGAAGTGTTAAAAATCTGTTCTCACACGGGAGAGAAAAATAGTTCCGGCCNTTTTCAATTAAACATGCTTACAAGCGCTCTTGCTCATCAGTTTGTATTTAATATATAAATACACAAAAAAAAAGATCATCTCATTTAGTGAGTCAGGCAAAATTTTTACAATTAGGTTACAAAAAATTCATGTAATCGAGAACTTACAAAGTATTTATGTATACTTTATCCTTTTATTACTTGAGAACATTATTAATGTTTACGGTCATTTATGTTATTATTATTATTATTATTATTTTTATTTATTAATTTCTAATTTCAAAATAAATTGGTATAGAGCGCTTTGATAAAATCCCTGCTAAAGTTAGCAAGAAATTCATAAACACCAAGTGGAGTTTTTCTAGTACTGATTCTCTTTGTGCATCATATATTTAATACTGCCATACTAGATTGCTAAAATTTTGTAATACACAGTCGCAGTCAGCTTCATTTTGGATCTGTTCACTGTGCTTTCCCTAGTAAGTATTAAATTTACGAATTTTCTCGCCAATTTACGTGAGTTCTGAATCGAACCGGAGCCGTGGCCCAAAGGACGAAACAATGTTTTCCCTACGCCCAATGCCGGGGACACCCGCGAATCGTTTTTCCGCCAATTCACGGGCACCGCTCAAAAACAAAAGGACGAAACAATTTCCCCCCGCCAAACGCAGCGGCGGTGGCGTCGAACCGCGAGAGCGAGCAAACGCGAGCCCCAGGGTGAATGGCCAGGCAAAAGTGAAGCTCCTTCCTCCTGCAGCCACGCGTCGCGTGCCCTCCTGCATGGGCTCTCGGCTTCATTGCTGCAGTGGAGTATCGCAGGTAGGTATATAAACACACCGCAAAAAAAGGTGCAACAGCTCCGCTTTCCAATCCTTCCTCCTCTCCTCTATATACACGTATATATACATATCACTTGGCTCGTGCGAAAAGCGTTTCGTTGCTCCTCCGTGATTTTAAAAAATTCAAAAGTCTTTGGTTTTGCCGGTTTCTTTCACCGTCTCGAGATTACGTACTCGGCTATACAGGGCAGACCCGGGCGGGACAGTCCCTTGGACCTAACTTTGAATAAACGATGAAAATATCAAGGAGCAATTAATATCATAGCGCTATGTCGATGTCGAACACTTTAGAGGACGCGGAGCACAACTTTTTCCGCCCCATCGATCGCAGGTGAAAAAAATTACATCTCTCCTCGACAATATTATGATCGTGCGGTTGTGCTGTTTTATGTTTTCAACGATATAACATGTGTGGGGTGTGTTTTGATAATACCAATGAACATTTTAATGTGCGAAAATTTGTTAGGTTTGAAAAAAAAAAAAAAAAAAAAAAAAATTGAATTACTAAAGTGACTTTAGCACGGATACAATTATTACTTTGACATACCTGTCTATGAGTTAAAAATGCAAAATAATAAACTCATCGTACTACCAGGTCTGTAAGTTATACCAAAAGTTTTGTGATTTTTCAATTCGTGTAAAAAAGTATGAAAAATGAAAAGAGCAACAAAAATTAACAGACAACAAATGAAATGTTTGGTTATTTGTTGAAGCGCGTGTGAAAATCGTTCGCAAGGCCGGGGTCGATGGACGATACACAGAGAGGCGCGAGGGAGGGGGAGGAAGAAAAATCCAAAAACGTGTCACAAGCGCTACATACACTTACAGGAAGGAAGGAAGCTATAAGCTGCGAGGGGATGTAAAAAGAAAAAAAAAAAAGTAAGATACCCGCGCTTTGCGCGAAGACGTATGGGCAACATAATATACTTAAACGTACAGAATAGAAGATGAGGAAAGACGGTGAGGTAATAAGTGAACATAAGCAGGGAAAAGAAAACATTAAGAGCCGGGTGGTGTGGAGCAGCGAGGAGGAGCGCGGCGAGAGAGAGAGCGGGGCGAGGAAAGGGTAGGGCGGAGGGAAGAGGAGACCCGGCGCGCGCGGAGGCACACAGTCAGTCGCCGACCGTCAGCCAAGTGCGGAGCGTGCAAATCATATATACAAACAAAATACACAACTCTCATTGAGATACACCATGCAATATTTATACCGAGCCTATATATAAATATTTCATTGGTTTAAGTTGCTTATATATATATATATGCACCAGTATGACAGCGCGTCGATACTTGTTATCAGTTCATGAGAATGTAATTATTACTTGAATAAAATCGGTTTTTGATTTCTCATCGACGCTCGATACAAGTACTCAATTGTACAGAGAGTTATTGCAAAGTTTGTCAATCGAGTAAGTAAACGCGAAACGTATAACCACAAGTTTACACACATGCAGTGAGTGCCAAGTGAGATGCTCGCCTGTGCCATTTCCATTGCAACTGTTGCTGTCGGCGGCGTTACTGTTGTTGTTGATGATGATGCCGTGTTGACGTTGTTACACTTGATGGTCCCGTCGAATCGCCGAACCCGCTGTTGTTGATGATCGATGGTCTGCAGTTGAAATATATATATACTTCGCTCGGCGTTCAACATGCTTCCCTAACATGATGCACGTGCGCCGCATCGAAACGGTCAGTGTTTACATTACATTCACCTATACCCCTCTGGCCCTCATACATACAGCTAAATCTTATTGCTTCACGCTGTGAGCTTTCGTTATTAAATTTATACTCGTGAGGATGGCATGTTTGTATCGTCACTTGGTGTGTGCTCGCTACGGAGCAAGTGTTGTCGAGGGTTATTTTTTCCTCGTATTTTTCAAAGCGAGGGCCGATATGGGTGTTTAAACTAAATAGGAGAGGAAAAAAATAAGCGGCTTTTTACCCAAAAATTTTTGCAACCACCGTAAATACAGTTTACGGATTCAAGTGCTCGGTCCTGAATTTTTTTTGCGAAGGTCATGTGTTTTTCATTTATTTTGCAGTGGTTAGATTTTTTGTTTGTCAAACACTCGATTCTTAAAAAAAAAAAAAAACTACATTTTTAGAATTGCTCGTATTTTTGTTTGGCTTTTCTTGTATTTTCAAAGCTTTTTGATGCAGTTCTTTACACACGTTTGACATTCGCTTATCCGTGCAACAAATAAACGAAGTAAACCCAGCTATATTTAATTAACCGTAGTTCGGGTTGGACCCAATTACTCTCCAAGTCAATAGTACATTGCACGCAAACGTAAATAGTGATATATTGTGCGTACATCTAGCGTTAATATTTTATACTTTTCACGTACCCGAAAAACCTTCGCGACTTTCGCGGATCGTGCCCCAGGGTGCGTAAATCTATATGTATATATATATAGCTTTGAGAGCAATCAGATGACACTTGAACTTCAGTGACCAAAACCCACTATTATTTTAGACAGTAAGGAACGAGGATATATAATTGTAATGCGCTTATTTTTTTCTTTCACCTCATTTGATTCATCTTAAAAATTACTTTAGGTTTTGACAATTTGAATAGCACGATTTTACACCCGCAAATCAATAAAAGGGCGTTTTTTTCTGCAGCATATACAAGGTACTATTTTTACGTAAACATAATACTCGTTTTGGCTGCCAAATAGTCAGAAGCGTGCGAAGTACGAAGTTGTGTGTATCATCTGTTTATTGGTATATGATAGGAGCGATAGTGGTCCGTATCCAGCGTAAATTACATGCAACAATTCGCTCCGAGCCGATGCAGAGGTTGCGCCCCCTCTAGCCA